CAATTAAGGCGAGGCAGAGGCAGGCACTTTGCAGGGGGATGCCGGGGCCGTGCCGGCTCTCGCACAAGGGCCAGAGCTGTAATCATACCCCAGATTCATGCTGGGCTACACAGAGACAAATTAATGGTAGATAGATTGCTAGCTCCAGCCCATCAGTAACGAGGGAGGAAGGGAGACCATATAGCAGTACAAGGGAGCTGTAATCAGAGTTTTTCTGTGCTATCAGCCCCCTTTCAGGGCAGAGGGACCTGGGCGTTAATGCCTTACTGCTGCCTGCATTGGTGGTACCCCAAGGCCCTGAGCAGAGTCACTGAGCCCAGATTGTGCTTTATTTGCTGAAGACACTGCACTAGCTGCAGTGAGGAGCCCTGTGCTCCAGAGATGCTGGAGACCAAACTGGTTCCCAATAAGGAACCAGTCTGAGCTGGTAGCAGCTGGTTCAGTTGACCTGGCCATGAGCCAGCAAAAGATCTCAGTATGGACACTACTACTGCTACAGGATCCTTCCTGTCATGAAATACACAACAAAGCAACACAAAGGTGCTGGCCTCTGTGGCTGTCTCCCTGTGCACTGAAGACCCCAAACACAAACCTCAACTGTGACCACATCACCTTAGACAGAAGGACAGCAGCAAGGACTAAACCCCTCTGAAACCTCATTAAAGGTTTCAAGAAAGGATGAAAGTTTCAGGACAGGCAACGATGTGGCAACACAGTGTTAATATCACAATTGTTAAAAAAGAAAATCCAATTGTATGATTTCTCTGTTGCATAAGCCCCCGTGTAGGGCCAGATCTGCCACTAAGGTGCCATTGAAGCCAGAGCAGAGTTTGCAGCCCAGCCCAGACAGCTGGGCAGCCATGGGGGAGGCGATGCCCGTGCAAGTGTCCTCTGCTCCCCAGCTCCCTCCCCTCCCGAGCCATCCTGACCAGCTGCAGGAGCTGTCTGCACAGGCTGGAGAGCTACCCGGGAAATCCAAGGGCTGAAGTTTGTACTAAAATATTTACAAGCCCCTGTGCTTTTGAATTATACAAGAAAGAGGCAATCACAAGGCAAGCTTTTACTCTTTTACTGCACAACTTAGCAATCAAATTGATTGCAACTTTTAAGCTGGTACAAACCCCCTTCCTGAGCAAAGTGCTTTGTATCCACTTTTGCCAAGTACCTTTTTTTTTTTCCAGCTAATATATAAACCTTTGAAAATAAGTTTGATGGGAGACTGACAACCCTGAAACCTCACGAGCAGCATGGCATTGACGGGTACCGCTCCCCGAGCCAGGGATTATAGATAGATTTTAATTTCATTTTAACAAAATAGCTGTCTCCAGTGGAAGAAGCATCAAGAGCTAAATGAGGACCCGTCTTGAGCTGAATCACGTCGAACAGACCTCGGCACTGTCATTGATTTTCTGGGAAGAAAAAAAAACGCCTCTGGCTACTAAACCAAATTAGTAGTCACTGATGACCAATTATTTTGCCCCACTGTGAACGGAGAGGCGTACTAAAATTCCAGTTTGTCAGACCCAAGGCTCCCTTCTCAAACACCTTTCAACAAGCGTGTACCAAAAGTCCCTCAGATGGATCTGACGCCTTCCTGTTTTCGGCAACTTCTCCTTCTCCAAAGTTTTAATGAGCTGCTGCTCCGAGGAGGGCCGGCCAGATAGGGAGCCCTTCCCACCTCGGTGGAGCACTATTTGGCATGGCACAAATCACAGCTGTCAGAATTTATACACACATACACAAAAAAGTGTCAGCCTAATGTTTGCAAATTATAATTACCATTTCTCTTGCATGTCCCTGGTGCCTTCATTTTAGATAAATCCCAGCTCTGAGGTATCAGCTGCAAAGCACTGAAGGTTCATATTGAATAGAATAGATTTAGCTAGTTTGTAGCTCATTTAGGGCCTACACTGTTTTATTTTAATATTGTTAATACTTTATTATACTTTTAAACATTGTTTTCACAGTAAAATAGCCCATTAGGAGGCTGCAGCTTCTTCTCCAGGAGAATTCTGGCAGACTAGCATACCACATTGTATAACCAAGTTAGCAGGAGCTTGTCATTTCAGTTGAAAATAGGTCTGTACCCTGACTCCTGAAAGTAAATTAGAGAGAGAGCCTATTAAAGAGACAGGAACCGTTTCAGGAATAATAGTTTTGAAAGTGTGCACAGATAAATTTTAAAATATTTAGGAAGTGTCAGCATTAGAAGTCGCTCCAACTATTTGACTATAAAAGGAAGCAGCTGATTATTTTTTTCTTTTCACAATTATAAATAATTTGTTACATCCTATCAGAACTTCTTTCCCTTTCCTTTCTGTGGCAGGGTGCTTGTGCCAAAACAAGATCTGAGTCACTCTGAACGAGGTGGATTTTAATCTGCAATAAGCGTTTCCAGCAGAGGCTTCCCCTGCTCTCCCCACAGCATCCAAAGACCACAGCAAAATCCTCCCAATTCAGAGGAGTGACATCTGGGCAGGCTGACAAAACCAAACAGGAAATACAAGCCGTTCATTCCTGTCCTTAAGTAACACTAAGGCAAGGGGACGTTTTCCCAAAGGCCAGCTGCAAATGAGAAATACCATCCCACTGCCAAGCAGAGCTGATATCAGGGCCAAAATTCCCCATCCACTCGGATGAGATCAGTGTTTGACCTACAAAGAAAAAGCCACCTTGCTGAAATTTCTGCAGTAACCTCAGTCAAAGAAGCGTTACCTGCCATCCCCTGCTCTTCCCCAGTTTCTCAGTATTTCTCTCAAAGGAGGCAGGAAAAGGCACATGAAGCCTCACGTCCTACAGCCCCACCAGAGCTTACGTGTGTAACTAAGTCATTCCCACCCATTTCAGAGGCAGTTCATGCGTGTGTTATTCCAGGCATGATTCTATACTTTGCTGGATCAGGACTTAAATGCGATTAATCACACGGCAGGGAAGGATCTCTGAAGAGCATCAGCCCAAATGTGTCCTTTCAAGCATTTACTTACAAGCCAGCTGTGGACTAATCAGTCACCAACTGGCTGGTCCACTGGAGATGGTAAAAGTCACCTCCACAGAGATGGGAAAACACATTCAGCTACCACAAAAATCAATAATCAAACAGTACACACAAAGGCTCAGTGTATTCCTGCATCCCTTCCTGCTACTCCTGCACAAGCAGCAAAGCTCCTGCCTCAGAGAGCAAAGGGACAGGCCAGGGAAATGAGCCTATGTGTGAGGCTCACTGTCTGCTTGAGCCACCAAAACCTACACCAAGCAATGAGACTGGAGACCCACCCAGACAATAAGACTCTTGATCCCAGGTTTGCCACATCATCTATCTCTTGTAAATATTTTGCCCAGCTCTGATCTGTACCAAATGCCAAAACAGAAGGGAAGGAGGGGAGAGGAGAGGGGACAAAGGGTAAACGTTGGTCTTGCCTTTGGCACCCGGTGTCTCCAGATAGTCTGGAGCAGCACAGCTGATTTGTAAGCAAAGCCTTGAAAAGCCCTGCAGCATGTGATCTATGAAAGAGGAGGTCTGCAGAAGGATGTCTCCTCTGATATGAATGCCCCCTCGGGATGTATACTGCTGGATTGCACATCTAGTATCATTAGAAAACACGACCATAGATTAGGCTGTTTTGAAGCATGTGGTGTGCCATAATTAAGTAATAAAAGTCACCACAGGGGTGAAGGAACAAGAAACAGAAGAATTACTATTTGCATACACGCTGCCAGTGCCCTCACGATCATCAAAGATTCTCTAGACTGCTAAATGCTCACTGCTACTGATTTTGGACCCACTCCTGCCAAGCTGTGAAGCACCAGCTCACTCTGTGGTACACAGGCACTTTCTGCAGAAAACCACCTTCTGGTGGAGCTGGTGGCCCAGAAGCAGCCCAGCACTTATCCCAAGTCCCCAGTATCATGCAGCTGGTCCAGACAGGCAGGGAAAGCATCCCTTGTCTTTTGTGGGAGCTGTAGCTGAAGGCACTGCAGGCTACAGGTGGGAGGAGAGCTGGGAGTGATGGCTCCACAGTCATTGGTTGCTGCTGAGATGGGAAAAGTCCCTCCCCAGCAAGGTGTGGTGACAAGGACCAATAAAACCTGAGATGGAGGTCCTCCATCCCCTTCAAGTCTTTGCTTCAGGAGGAAGAGAAACAGCAGGACCTCAGCAATGAGTGATAGCCAGACCTCAAGGCAAGAACCCCGTGGCTGCCACTGCCAGGTCTGCCTCCCACAGTGCCTGATGAAGTTAAAGTATCCTCACTTGCAAGGAATGAGGCTCAACAGTTGCAGGCTGCAGCTCTGCCACAAGCTGGTTTAGTTAATGCCAGCTCAGAGCAACTGAATGGGACACCAGCCAACAAGAAACTGGCTTATTTTTATTATTTTTCTAGAAACATAATCATCTGGTCTCCTCTTGGCCAGGGTACTCCCTGGTACCCTGTTCTGAGAGACAAACACATCTGGCCTGTGCAGCTGAGGCACTAGACCAGGGCTCAGCATTTCAGCTCCAGACATGTGACCATTGAGTCCATTTTCATCCCTAGTCAGGTAGCTCAGGACAGCACTCACTCCTCTCACCCAACCTGGGCACTGCCCCATCCAGTGCTTTCATTACCCACTATCAGGTATCAAGTGGGAAACACTCCTGGAGCCACAGCAGGGCCCAGGAGCAAGCTGCAGTCTGTGGTCCTCCCAACACACCAGGGCTGGAACAGAGCTGGTGATATGGGCCTTATAAAAGGTTGTGCAAAGACAAGTTGTGCTCATTCTGGGGAATGTCCTAGCACAGTCCTGCTACAGGTTATCACAAGTGTGTGCAGGCTGTGGTGTAGCAACTGCAAATGAATGTGGGTCTGAGTCTTTCTTGAGGAAGAGAAAGCTTTCCCCAGTGTGACTGTTTATCCATGTTCTCACCAGTCACACCATCCAGGAGCAAAGATATTAATCACCTATGGGGAGGTAGAGAGAGGTATTAACCTTGGAAATTATATTGTCTTTTCAATATTTTCCAGGCCTTCCACTCCCTTCTTTGATCTCCTCCAACACAAATACAAGGAGCTGTGGATGGAGGAGCAGAGAGCCCTGACAATAGCTCTGCAAAAGGAACAGAAAAAGGTGACAATACTCCAGCAGACATAACCAACCACTGTCCCATCCCACAAGGGCTGGAATTCTCCCAGCCATGGGGAGGATTCTTAGCTGGGAAAACACCCTCACTGTCTACTAGAAGGCTGGTGAAGCCTAACAAAGATGAGCTGCTGTGGGGTGGTGCTGTAGGAGTGAACACCAGATATGCAAAACCCAACATGTATCTGTGAAAGTGCTCTAGAAGCAAGGGAGAAGGTGGGGGTTTCAGCATTTTTGTATCTGAAGATACACACAGGAGCTGAGCAAGTTCTCCAGGGTAGTGGTGCTTTGGCCAAGACCTTTCAAGGGCTTAGAAACCTGTCCCACAGAGACACATTTCTAGCAATCATCAAGCATCTGTCTGCATCAGCATCCCACTAGCTGCAGGTTGCCCATCTGAACTCCTAGTATCAATTAAAATGGGGGCTCTGGTTCCTTTTACACCACCACAATAGTCAAACACCCTACTGTAACAAAGAACTAAGTTTCAAATTATCTTTGGTATTTATATCATCCTCATGCCAGGAGCCCTGCACACTGTCCTTTGGACAGCATCAAGGTTACTGAGGTTACCTGTGAAAGTGGACAAAAGCAATGGAACAGCCAAGAAATGTTAAAGGACCAGCCCCTGCCCTGATCCTGGCATGGCAGGGTGGATTCCAGCACCCACAGCAGTTGTTAGAGTGCCACGCTGTGCTGCTAAACACACCAATATTGTAATAACATTTAAAAGCAGCCAATGACTGTTTTATTAGTTAATGGCTCAAAGAAGAGTCGAGTTAATATGGTAATGACCAATTTCAATGGGCTTACTGCCATCACAAACTATGCTTTATAGCTGAAGTGCAAGAATACAGTGTTCTTAATTAGCAGCTACTTTATGAATACACAGCCTGGGATGCTGGAAAGTGCATCCCTACCTTATCTATTAATGACTGATGTTTTTAATCACTAAGTTCCCTCCATCGAGTTCCCAAAGCCTGCAGCCACCAATTACTGAGTTAAGCAACACAAACCTACATCCTAGACCACGGAGCAGACAGATTTCCCAGGTTCCATGCAGTGGCCAAAACATTCACGAGGTACCTGCACTGGCTTGTGCTGGGACTATCAAGCACTGCAAGCTGCAATTAATCAGGACAGAAACACACACAGAGGACAGCCAGGAAAACCCCCCCACGGTGGGGGTGGTGGAAGTGACTTTCCCAGCCAGTGACCAGCCCTTGCTCCAGCTCAGAGCACAGGGATGCTGCAGACAGCATCATCTCCCTGGGATGCTGGTAAAGCAGACACAGAGCTGGCAGCTGCTCGTGTTTTCATCAGTGTTTCAGGTCTCAGTATCAGCCACACGGACATGAAAAACTACCCAGACCAGGTACTTGTGACCATCACTCCAAAGTGACTTTGAGTGTTGTTCCTCCCAGAGTCATTACATGGCATGACACCAGCCTGAGATCTATAGCTGTGCAGCCTTCTCAGCCTCTTCTTCTTTACCTTCAGCTACAGAAGCTCAAACCGCGTGACACTCGCACCACACTTCTTCGGAAAAACCCACAGCCTGCAGAGGTGGAGTCCTTCTGGCACCTGCCCCACCTGGAGAAGGTATGGAGCACTTGACTGAGCCCAGGGGCACCTTGCCCACATGCCCTGATAACACCCCTAGCACACAATGATGGTAGACATAAGGCTCTTACCTCAAAGCTCCCCTAGACCCACATCCTGACCCTAAAGTGGTCCCACACTGGATACACTCAAACCTCAGCCCCTTTTGGGCTTCAGGGTGGGATATTTTTTGCAGCCATAAGCCCCGAAAGGCAGCAGTTGCCCAAATAAGAGCTTAATGACTTATTTTCTAACCTGTGTACACTTTCATGAACTTCACCAGATGAGAAGCATCTTTTCACATCTCCCTGTTAGTGCTGGGGTGGCCTTTGTCCTCTGCTGGGATCCCCACATTCTGGTAGCCTGCATTTTATCAGCTCCCACCATAACTAATTCAAACCACACCAGATGTTTCAAGAAGCATTTTCACCCCAAGAATTAGAGCTCTCCAGCAAGTGCACACGCTTGATACCTCTCTAAACTACGTGATTGACAATATTCACCCTGAGACTGAGCAAAGGTTCTAGCCAGGTTACAGATGTGTGTGACACCTCCTTTAATTGATCCAAATAAGAGCCGAGGTGAAGATTCCAGGTTCTAGCAATGGGATCTCAATATCTCCCTGAATTCATCTGTGCCTCCTGCTGTGCTCTGGGGTACTTGTTTGAATTCTGTTAGCTTTGTTTGTGGTGTAAATTACAGGGAAACTTCAAGTGAAGAGCTAGGAGGCATTTTAGGAAGGAAGGGAAAAGAGCTGGGCAAGCAGAATGGGAAGGAGACACCAGAAAACCTGAAAGCACTGAAACCCTGCAGGGAGTTTACATGGCCAAAATCCTATGATTTTTTCCTGGCATTGATAGATACCACTGCAAAGAGCCTTTCATCCCCCACCCCAGCCCTTGTTCTGAAGGGATTATTATGGGTTTTGCCACGCTGTTGATTTGTAACCACAGTTTAAACCAACGAAGAAGCCTCGTGCCTTCCTGAAGCTCATTTACTTGTACAAGTTGCAGAGTTTTGACCAAGAACCTTGTTTTGCACCACCTTGATGTATTCCTCTGACGTCCTGTCTGAGCCTGTGCGATTAGCATATGTCAGTAATCATTTACCCGGGCTGCCTGTCAGCACAGAGCTGCTGCTGCGGGTAGTGGCAGGGAGAGAACATGACCGATCGCTGTTAAACAGATTGTGTAAGTCACACGAGGTACTGGGGCAAGCCTCCTCTTTAGAGCTCCTCTCACCCCAGACCTTTCCATCACTAGTCATTTTTCAGCCCGAGTTTTTCTTCCTTTTGTTTCATCCACGAGCGTGGTCGGGTTCCTCTCCCAGCCACAGCTCTCAAACCTCTGAGGCTTTTCTTCCTCTCTCTGCCTTTCTCCTTCCTCTCCTCTTCCATTCCTTCCCTCCCCAGGAGCTGCATCCAAGGGAGGAGGGACAGCTCATTTTTCACAGCCTCTGCAGATTCTCTACTCCTCCTTTCTCATGACATTAACCTGTAAGATTTGCCTTCCCCCAGCTGTAGATCTAACATGCAGAGCCCGTGTTAAAACTTGAATCAGGAAATTTGTTGCTCAGCTGAGTTTCAGTGCATTGCTTCCTCCATGGAAAATTAAGTCCTCTGGAACAGACAGAAATGTTTACCCAGAGAAAAGCAGTAACAACCCAGAGAAAACAGATGGTTCCCAAAGACACTTGGTAGCCTCCAAACTGTGCTTTAACCATCACTGTGAAGTTGGGTTCTACATAGGTGGTGGTGGAATGGTCTTGAAAAACTGTCCAAACCTTTCAACCAAACCCAGGGACTCCAGGAGTCACTGTGTCAGTCCCTCATTTGCCAGGGTGACAACAGAGCAGTGCTCCAAGGAGGTGAGGGAGCTTCAACTGTTTCAGTGCTCATGAAACCTTTTCTCAGGTTCTTCCATGGTGCTGGATAACTACTTTATGGCTTTTTTAAGGTTCAGTGGTCTGAGGAGGACAGCTGTTAGCACTGACCACTGTAGGCAGTTTATCAAAACACCATTCAACCTGTAAGGCCCTTGTCCTGCTGCTCAAAAAACAGCATGAAAAGCAACCACAACAGTATCACTTGACAGAAAGCTTATTAGCAGACTCCCATCTGCATATAGTTCCCTACCAGCCTTCAGTGACCTTGTCCTGCTCTGGCCATTACAGGAGATGCTCATAACCTGGGAAAAACTTCAAACTCTGGGTAAAGATACTCAGAGACTCCATTGCCTTGACCACAGCCCCACTTTGGACTGATTTTCCCTGTGACCTGAGGCTGGTGCAAGGTGCAGGGGTGTGTCATGTCCTCAAGCCACTCACTTCTTGTCCCTCAGTCACCCCAACATCTGGCATGATGCCTTTCAGTCTGGGCCTGGGGAGAGCAATGCAGGGCACCAGCTACTGAGATGGTTGTAACCCAAAGCAGGGGGCAGCAAGAAGATGCTTTTTTTCCTTTAGACCCATAGAAATGAAAAATTTCTCTATTCCAATCCTGACCCTCCACAGAGAGCTGCAGATACTGAGGGTGGATGTCAGGACTGACTCTTAAACAGGACTCTACATTCAGTCAGATTCAATACTAGCTCCTGACACCATGCTGGAACTTGAGAAGAAAGTGGAAGAGAAGAAAACAAAGGAGCTTTGCCCTCCACACTAATTGCCTCTGCTTGCTCCCTGCATCGCCAGGGCTGCGTGACATTACATAGTCATTCAGTCAGCAAAGTATGGACAAATTGACTATATTTTCATTCGGATTTAGGTTTCAGCCCCACTGCTTTAGAATAATGGCCCAGGCTGTTAAGCTAAGCGGGTGATTTCCAGGCTCTCCCACCCTGGGTGGTAGCTCCTGTTCCACATCACTCTGGAAGACCAACCTGGCGTGTGGTCTCCTGGGCCCTCCAGCTCCACCAAACAGGTCACAGGAAGCCAGTCATGTCCTGATGGGCAGTTCATTAGGGAAAGTTGCTGAATTGGAGTGTTTTTCCTTATTTTTTTGACAAGAGCAAACAGAAATTAGCCCCTTGCTTGCCTCAGCAAGGTGCTTCTACTGCCCTCCTCTTCCTCAGCCACCCCCCAAGGCAAACAGCCTCTGTCTTGCTCTGCCTGCAGTGACAATTCCTGGGCTCAGGTTTTACCAACTCAGATAATACCATGCACCAAGATTGTTTCTTTGTAGATGTAGGACTACATTCTCTGAGACTGTACTTCAGGCACCCAGCATGGACATAAATATTCCTGTCCTCCATGTTCATGGGATGTCTCCTGTCCCTGTGTCACCCATCGCTAGCATCATGCTGGCCCAGGCAGAACAGCACCAACCAAATTCTGGAAAGGATGGTGCTGCCAAAACACAGCATCCCCACAGCCTTCCTGTGCCAGCCAGCGTGAGGCTCCACCTGGATATCTGACAGTCACAATCCAAACCAGGAAATCAGCGCTGGCCACTCCGCAATAGATTTCCTGTCAACCCCAAAAGATTCAGGCAGTGACACCTTGTGCAGCAGTGATGTGGACAGACCCCACCCGTGTGGCACTGACACCACCAAGGCTTTTTCCTTTCCTCATTAGAGAATTCCAGCGTTTCTCACACTCTTGAGGTGGCTTTCCAGGGAGAATAGTCTTGTTTACTTGACCAAACAGGGGAAGGAAAGAAAACGCAGGAAGTTTGGCCAAGACTTTTGTCAACATGCTCTGCCTTCCCGAGCAGATGAAACGAGCTGCACTCGATGTGAGATATGAATAAGCGATAAGCAATTGACGAGCAAGTGCTCGGGTACCTTGGCAAAAGACTTAATTTGCAACCTGGCACAAAATCAAAGGCTCTGTCATCGCCTGAGCGGCTCTCCCGCATCCGCCTTCCGTTACCTGGGAAAGCTCTGTCAGGTAAATTTCCACTGAAAGTAATTAGAGGAATCCCCACTGTATAAACTTTTGCTGCAAAATTCTGGGCTCCAGAATTTGATTCTCACCAGGGACCCGATATCTGCTCGCAGCCTGATCCTTCGTCAGAATTAACAGTTGAGGTTTAGCACATACACACAAAAACATTCCACTTTTTTTAATGTCTTACCTGTTTCTGTCTAAAGAGCTGAACTGACAAACACAGCTCATGTAATCTTGCAACTTGTTTCCTCAGAAAAGCCACAGACTCTGCTTAAGTAACCCGGGCTTGATACACACAGCACATGGTGGGCTGGCTTTTCAGATATGCTGTTTATCCTCCCCAGTTTGAGGGCAGCAAAATTTCATGGAGTTGGAGTGTTATAAAACTTGTCTCCTGGGGCCTACATAGTGCTTAAAGAATAAAGCAATGAGTGCAACAGCTTTCTGTCACCATGGTACCAGATCAAACCTCCCTTCAGCTAAGATTTTGCCTAACCAAAAAAAAAAAAGCATCACCTGATTTGGACTGTTTGATGGCTCAAGTAGCATGACTTGGTGGGTCCCAGCCTAGCAGTGACAATCCAAAACAGCATCACTGGCCTTCATTGATGACCTGCCTACAACAGACAATGCAACACCCTCCTACAGGGTTCAGGATGGGCAGTAGAGACCCAGCTACCCCAAGCATGATCCCTGCACGTCTCCAGTGGGACCACGGCAGAGATGTTGCCTCCCACAGTGCGACCATCATGTGATTCAACACAGGCTGTAGGCCCCAGTCACCATCATCACATTTCTGTGCAGATTCTGCAGGTTTTCTTGTTTTGCCTGACAGCTAAAGCTTCCAGTATTGCAATTGTTCAAATCACAACAAAGCATTTCCAGGGTCTAGCCTTTTCCATTATCCCTTTGCATGTGCCCTGGACATTCAACTTCCCCACCATATCCTAATGCTTTCCTTTGCCATGCTCAGTCCTTCCTCGTGTCTCTCTCAGACACATTAACCCATTATTCCTCTGCAATTTTCATTACTCTCCAACATCTGATGTTGGACAAGAAAACACCACCCCTCCCTGTGCAGCCTTACAGCCTGGACTGTCTCCAGAGCTGGCTCCACCTACATCCAAGCCCCAGTGTTCAAAGGCAGCACAAGCAACTGTTGGCAACAAATGTCCATTGCTGTTATGAAGATATTCACCCATGAAGGACAGATCTGGGGTGCCTGCAGCCTCACAGCTTGCAGCAGAGTCAAACAATGCATGCTGTGTTGGGTTACAGATGAACATCTACCATTGCTTTCAGCACTACCTACTATTTCATACACAAACTCACAGAAGTTATTTTTTAAATGGACTTGCAGTTTCATTCATGGACTTATTCTGCCTTCTGCAGAGATGTTGTTTACTAGCAGACAACTTGAAATAAAATTCTTGCCTGACATGGAAAAAGTCAGGATTCAAATCTCAGAAACACTTGAAGTCAATATGAAAGCTGCCAGCTCTGGTCTGACTCCAGGACATCTGCTAAGGGGGACACAGCTTACACAGGTCACAGCTCCAGTGCATTAATTCTCCTTTACTCACACTACTACCCAGACCAAGTGACCAGTGAACTCCAGCAAATATCTTCGGCCATTATTTTCAGGAAGGAAAAACAAAACACCTCCATGAGGCATTAAATACAGCAGCCAAAAATTGCTGAGCGCTTCTTGAAACCTTCCTGGGTTTGAAGCAAATAAAGAACATTTAGCCCAGATCCCCCTGTCCTGCATTTCCCTGTGTTCTTAGAAACAGGGAGGAGAGAAAAATCAACGCCCTTCATTAAACCAGTTAAGTGCACAACTGCCAGGAAAAGCCACAGTATTTGTAACCCTAATCATCCAACGCACACCTCGGAGCGCAGCTCATCCTGGCCAGGGTAACGTCTGTTTTAAAAGTACCTGCCTCCCTCCAACTTGTCATGGCATTTGTTGACAACCCTATTGAAAGCCGCTCTCGGTGCGGCTGTGAAGGATCTTTCAGCACCTCTTTCTCTTTCCTAGACAGTTTTTGAAAGGGAGGGGAAGGGAAAAAAAAAAAAAGCCATCAATACAGGGGGAAAAAGGCATCAGCAGCCAACATCGGCTGATGAAGCGCCTCACCTGGGCCCCCAGCACACCGCCTCCAATTAAATCAAAATGGTTTGTTTTTAATGGTCTTTTACACTGACAAGTGGGCTATCATTCCAGGCCTAGAGAGCTGTCAGGGAGCCGAGGCAAATCCTCCGTTGATAATGCCCAATGCTTCCAATTAGGAGGCGAGGCCGCTCCTGGCGCACTAACGATTCCCCAGCCTCCCCCAGGCCCCTTCGGCGCTGGCTGCTTCGTCTTCCCTCTTCCTC